AAAATATATCTTAAGCAAGTATATTTCTTCTCCTGAGAACTTATTTTTGTATTGTCAGTCAGTTGTATATACACTTGGTTATGTAGTTAGATGGTCAAGGGAATTTACTGAGAGCATCCACATACTACAGAAGCCTTGGTTCCCAGCATCTTCCCTGGTCCTCCCCTCCCATCTTCCATGTTGTCAGATTTGATGTCTGCCTGTGTCCTTCCAGAAAAATCCAACTCTTCTAGTAGATTCTGCATTTGGGCTCAGTGTTTTCTGGGTGCATCTCACTGTTTTCTCTGAAACACTGGCCACAAATATCTTACATAGGATTTGGTTTCAGCAGGAAACAGCATCACACCTACCCACAACATCTTTGAGAATTTAAAGCCACTACAGGAAGTATATGGAGGAAGCATTGCCTAGCCCAGAGCTTTGGTATAGAATTGGGTTGTCAGAGACAAGTCTTGAGCAAGAGCATATCCTCTTTCTGTTTTGTGCTGGATGTCTTCACCCTTGACAGGGGTTCCGGGTTGCAGTCTGGTCTATCCCATGGGTGTGTCCTGCTGTGCAGACTGTATCACCAGTTCTGTTTGCTGTTTATGTGGAGATCTGGCATGAGTCACTGCCATGGGCCTTAGAGCTGCTCTTCTTGGACTTGGTAAGTGAGACAGGTGTCATTATTTTTAGTCAAAGTGGTAATGAATACAGAATCTCAGATTTTTAACCTAGGATCTTCTCATAGAAATTTCTCTGTGAAGACCTGGCCTGGTGCATCAGAAGAGTCTTCCATGGTCTCAGCCTGTCTATCTTGGTCTTTTGATCTGAGCTCTGGGGTCGGGATCAGTGTATAACAGGACAGACTTCTCTTATCAGATATTTTGTTTTATTTTCAGTGTTTTTAATGGCACAGAAGATTTGGGCACAATATGGTGAGTCTGTTCTTTGTTTTAGCCACGGGAAACTGAGTTTGGCTGGGAATAACATGAGAGGAGCTTGAAGTCTCTTGAGCAGATCCTGAGATGGGATTTTCTTTGGCAGCCACTGACACACTTACTTAATGATTCGTCCTTACTATTGCAGCCATCTTTGGGGTGGGGATTCTTGACTGTGCTCCAGTAATGTCCAGATGAGATCTGGCTCAAAGGGTATGGAAACAAAGGGCACAGAGGAGGTGACAGTCACACACATGTTTCCTCCTAGGGTACAAATATTTACTTTCAATTAGTTTTCCTTTTCTTCCCATCTCTTCTCACCTGGGCTGTGTCTGGCTTTCTTACTGAGTTCTGCCTCTGGGGAGACACATCATTCATGAGACAGAGCCCAAGTAAATGCTGTCTGTGTGGGTGCAGTACAGGTGGGATTCCTTTGTTTCCAGAGGCTCCCAGGTTTTGTGTGGTATTAGAAGTGGTTGTAGATTTTGAGTTTTATATGGAATCAGGAGAGAAAGTAAGACATAGGTCAGTGGCTTTTTTTTTTGAGATGGGATTTCTCTGTAGGTTTGGAGCCTGTCCTGGATCTTGCTCTGTAGACCAGGCTGGCTATAAATTCACAGAGATCTGCCTACTTCTGCCTCCAGAGTGCTGGGATTAAAGGCCTGCGCCACCACTCTCTGAGTATAGGTCAGTGATTTAATGGGATTTCATTCCAGGGAAATGGGAAGGCTGGGTGATAAGAATAGCTACCCGCAGGGTTCATTTCTGGCCTGGTGCGAGATGATAGAAGGCACTGATAGCACTAAAATATGAGAGTTTTTATTTTTTAAAAAGAATATCACATTTAAAATTTCTATTTAATTAACTTTTTTTTCATTTATTGTACATACCAATCACAATTTCCCCTCCCTTCTCTTCTCCCATTCCCACCCCAACCTCCCATTCACCTCCTCTTATTGCACTCCTCCTCTGAAAGTTAGTCCCACACTGTTTGGGAACATTAAAGATAATTAGGCCTCTGGAACTGTGGCACAATATCAATTGTGAAAACAGTGGACTTCTTTCTGGAGGTGTGCTGGTTAGTTTTCTTTCAACATGGCACAAGCTAGAGTCCTCTGGGAAGAAGAAACATCAACTGAGGAATTGCCCCCACCATACTGGCCTGTGGGCATGTCTGTGGGGCATTTTCTTGATTAATAATTGTTGTGGGAGTTACTCTTTAGCTCCTTGGGAACCTGGCCCTCCTGACATCAGATGACTAGCTCTCTTTTCCTGTGTCTCTTCAGGGCAACCACCCCAGCCTTCCATCTGGGCAGTTCCAGGAGCTGTGATTTCCACAGGTAGTGCTGTGACCATCTTCTGCAGGACCCCTCCAGGAGTGACTTATGTGCGTCTAATCAATGATAAAGGGTGGTTTGATGACACCCTACAGGGAGACCAGGAAGTGTGTCAATTCAGTCTGCAGAATATGATACACAGCAATGCAGGGGTTTACCACTGTGAATACCAGGATGGAAGTAAATGGTCCAAAAATAATGACACACTGGAGCTGGTGGTGACAGGTGAGTACCTGCCCTAGCACATTGTCCTTCAGACTCAGTCTCTGATGCCTACCTCACTGAACCACATTTGCCCCATCACAGGCCCTGCCCTTTATCTCTGCTCCCATATATGGATCTCTTCCCTCTCCTCTCCTCCCTTCCTCTCCCTTCCTCTCCCTTCTCTCCTCCCATTTAATCCTTTTCTTTTCAATTTCCATTTTTCTTGATTTTTTTTTTGTGACAGGTTCTCAAACATTTCAGTACAGCCTTGACCTTGCTGTGTATCCAAACACAATCTTGAATTTATGTTCCCTCTGCTTCTACTCTCCTAGTACTAGCATTATTGACCTGGACAATGACACCATTCATATGGTGATGGGCATAGAGCACAGGGAACTGTGTATATTAGGGAAGAATTCCACCATCTATGATTCGTCTTCAGACCCTCTGTTTTTGCTTTATGACCCTCCCTCTGTGCTGACCTTGTTCTAGGCTCCCTCCAGAATGGTGATTATAGCCCTTAAGGGCTGGAGTTCATGGAAACTGACAGCAGCCTCCTGTCATACATAGATGGTCTCTATGGTCTTTGTTCATTGAATAATTCAAACATATTTTGTGATCTGTATAGATCGGCAATGCATGAGTCTCCTTTCCTCATCATCTTTTCTTCTCTCTGGGCAGACTCTGTGAGTTGTAGGCTTAACTTGAATCATGTTTTAAACAACAGGGCTGCACTGTCTGGTTTGGTGTCAACTTGACACAAGTTAGAGTCATCAGAGATGAAGGAGACTCAGTTGAGGAAATGCCTCCATAAGATCCAGTTGTAAGAAATTTTCTCAGGTAGCTATCATGGGGGAGGGCCTAGTACATGGTGGGTGGTGCCATCCCTGGGCTGGAGGCACCCTGGATCCTGGGTTCTATGAGAATGCAGGATAAGCAAGCCATGGGAAGCCAGTAAGTCAGTAAGCAGCACCACGCCATGGCTTTTGCATCTGCTCCTACCTCCAGCATCCTGCCCTGTTTGAGTTCCTGTCCTGACTTCCTTTGGTGATGAACAGTAATGGTGAAGGGGAAGCCAAATAAAACATTTGCTCCCCAACTTGCTTTTTGGTAATGGTCTTTCATCACAGCAACAAAAGCCCTAACTAAGACAAGGGTCTTTTTGTAAACTTTTTGAGACAGGGTCTCACCATGTAACTCTGTCTGAACTTGAAGCCTCAATATAGAGCAGGTTGTTTTTAAACTCACAACAATCCACCTGCCTCTGTCTATGAAGTGTTCAGATTAAAGGAATGTGTCACCACAAGCAACTAATAGCAGGAACTTTTTCTTCCAAGTGCTTACATGGAGAAGCCATTGCTTACTGTTGATTCAGGACCTCAGGGATTCTCAGAAATCAATGCAACTCTCCACTGCCACATACATGGTCCCTTTAATATCTTCATCCTCTGCAGAGATGGAAATGCTTCCTTCCCCCAGAACTGTTCACAGCAGGACCACAACACATTCCTCATCTCTCATGTGAGCCCTGAGCACCTGAGGACCTACAGATGCTTTGGCTCTTACAAACAAAATTCCTACTTGTGGTCACTGCCTAGTGACCCCCTTGAGTTTTCAATCCCAGGTAGGTACATCTGGTTCTTGTTCCTTATCTCTGTGCTTAGAGAGTCCTCAAGGGATGCCATGTGAGATATGCCAATTCCATTGCATATCTCCTGTGTGCTGTGTGTTGCACACCACACTGCTATTCTTACTGCAATTGCTCCATTTGCACTATGGACTCTGAACATTACGTGTTAATTATATTATTTTGGGGTAGATACAAGAATATTCATCTGGGGACTAGAAGTCCTTACCTATCCATAATGAGACTTCCTGAAAGATGGTATTCCACTTGATTGCTGACTGTTGTCCTTCAATGTTGCTTTCTGAGTTGTGTGTGTGACAAATATATAACTATCCCACAGGACAGAACAATTGGAGTGTATCTCCTAGTTTCTCTATTGAACGTGATTTTTTAGATTTCAAGAGAACATCTGTTTTTTCTTTTACCTTTTAGATTATGATATATGTCATTTCATCCCTCCTTTTTCTTCCTCTAAACCCTCCCATATACCCCCTTGTTCTCTTTCAAATCCATGGCTTCCTTTTACATTAATTGCTGCTACATGAATATATGTATATCCATGTATATATTTCTAATATACCCTCCTTAGTCTGTATAATGTTGTTGTATGTTTTCAGAGCTGACCATTTGGCATTGGATAACCAACTGGTGTTCTCCTCCCTGGGGAAGACCATTTCTCTCACTCTCAGAATTCCCAGTTCTTTGTTGTTATTTATGTAGGGTCGAGGCCCCATTGTCTTTCTCCCATCCACTTTCGCATGTCTGTTTTGTTGACCTTTCCAGCTCATGTTTAAGCAGTCATGGTGAAACTTTATGTGTGTTGCCTCTGACATTAGTAGGAGACACAGTCTCACAACAAACTCCCTCATGCTTTGTTTCTTACAATCTTTCCTCCCCCTCTATCACAATGTAGGGGTTGTTTTGTAGATGCATTGCAACTGAGCTGCACAACTCTGCATTTTGTTTTGTTGTGTTTGTAGTGGTGTATGTGATGTGATGTGATATGATGTGACGATGTGATGATGTGATGTGGTGATGTGATGTGATGTGATGTGATGATGTGATGATGTGATGATGTGATGTGATGTGATGATGTGATGTGATGATGTGATGATGTGATGTGATGATGTGATCGGATGTGATGTGATGATGCGATGTAATGTGATGATGTGATGTGATGTGATGTGATGTGATGATGTGATGTTATGATGTGATGTGATGATGTGATGTGATGATGTGATGGCATGTGATGTGATGATGTGATGATGTGATGTGATGATGTGATGTGATGTGATGATGTGATGTGATGTGATGTGATAATGTGATGTGATGTGATGTGATGATGTGATGTGATGTGATGTGATGTGATGATGTGATGTGATGTGATGTGATGTGATGATGTGATGTGATGTGATGTGATGTGATGTGTAACGGTCTTCATCTGTTGTGTCATGAAGTTTCCTTGGTGAGGGATGAGTACTACTCTTATCTGTCCCCCCAGCCTTTGTCATCATAGTTCCCCCTCTGAACAGCCATCAGTCCAGTGGAGAATGCAGGAAACATTAACAGAAGAGAACTCAGAAACAGCAGTGCCAGATTTCTTGGTGGAAGGGACTTATTTCTATATATCTTAGAACATCTGGTCCTTAGGAATGTCTTGGGGTTTTAAGAGTTGGGACATGTTTCAGGTTTGGTGAAGAAAGGGCACAGGGCCATGGAACTTCCAGTTGGGAACATAGTTGAGATAGAAAACTTGGCATAGAAAACATCAAGTGTGCATGGGTTAAAGATGGGAAGATGGACATGAGGAGGCAGGGGGAAGAAATCCCATGTAGAGTAGAAAATGGGATGACACATGATGAGCTTTTATGTGAGCAGGTGGCATACAGGAGTGTTGGTGGGGTCTGCTCATACTTAGACGTCCATTTCTATGCAACATTTGATGATGGATTTTAATTTTACTGCTGCAGCTGAGAAATCCTCTATGATCTTCAGAACTATATATCCAATGAAATATTTGAAATTTATCTTTGCTGACATTTAGCACACAGCTCAAAAAACTCCAGACTGGAAAGCATTCCTACATCCTCCTCACATAAGTCCTTTCTATTCTTATGTGATGAATATGTATATTATATATATGTATATACACACATGCATATATCTATATACAGACACAAACCATGACAGACAGACACACAAACATATATGTATACCGATTTCATATAGGAGACAAAACATACACTATTTGAGCCTGATTTTTTTTTTGCTCAATATGAGGACATTTTCATGTTCTTGTAAATTATATCAGTTCATCTTTCTGTCTGAATAAATCCCCATTCTCTGTATAGCCAACTGATCTAGTATAGTATAGTATAGTACAGTACAGTACAGTATAGTACAGTATAGTACAGTACAGTATAGTACAGTACAGTACAGTATAGTACAGTATAGTATGTACAGTACAGTATAGTACAGTATAGTATAGTATAGTACAGTATAGTATAGTATGGTACGGTATAGTATAGTACAGTAGAGTACAGTATACTACAGTACAGTACAGTACAATACAGTGTAGTACAGTATAGCATAGTACAGTATAGTACAGTATAGTATAGTACAGTATAGTATAGTACAGTATAGTACAGTATAGTATAGTACAGTATAGTATAGACCAGTACAGTATAGTATAGACCAGTACAGTATAGTATAGTACAGTATAGTATAGTACAGTATAGTATAGTATAGTACAGTATAGTATAGTATAGTATAGTACAGTATAGTATAGTATAATACAGTACAGTACAGTGTAGTACAGTATAGTACAGTACAGTATAGTACAATATAGTATAGTACAGTACAGTATAGTATAGTACAGTATAGTACAGTATAGTATAGTATAGCATAGTACAGTGTAGTACGGTATAGTATAGTACAGTACAGTACAGTACAGTATAGTATAGTACAGTACAGTATAGTACAGTATAGTATAGTATAGTACAGTACAGTACAGTATAGTATAGTATAGTACAGTACAGTATAGTATAGTATAGTACAGTACAGTACAGTATAGTATAGTACAGTACAGTATAGTATAGTACAGTACAGTATAGTATAGTACAGTACAGTATAGTACAGTATAGTATAGTACAGTATAGTATAGTACAGTACAGTATAGTACAGTATAATATAGTATAGTACAGTACAGTATAGTATAGTACAGTACAGTACAGTATAGTATAGTACAGTATAGTATAGTACAGTACAGTATAGTATAGTATAGTATAGTATAGTACAGTACAGTATAGTACAGTATGGTACAGTACAGTATAGTACAGTATAGTATAGTACAGTACAGTATAGTATAGTATAGTATAGTACAGTATAGTATAGTAGAGTAGAGTATAGTATAGTACAGTATAGTATAGTATAGTACAGTATAGTATAATATAGTACAGTACAGTACAGTGTAGTACAGTATAGTATAATATAGTACAGTACAGTACAGTGTAGTACAGTATAGTATAGTACAGTATAGTACAGTATAGTATAGTACAGTATAGTACAGTATAGTATAGTACAGTATAGTATAGTACAGTATAGTATAGTACAGTATAGTATAATACAGTGTAGTATAGTACAGTGTATTATGGTATAGTATAGTACAGTACAGTACAGTATAGTATAGTACAGTACAGTATTGTACAATATAGTATAGTATAGTACAGTGTAGTATAGTATAGTATAGTACAGTACAGTACGGTATAGTATAGTACAGTGTAGTATAGTATAGTATAGTA